ATCCCTATTCCATGATCAAATATCTTTGAGCTAAGATATAATGTATCTTAATTAAACCTATCTTTAGATAGGTTTTTTTCCTCAAAAGCATTTTATCAAAAAAATCCAATTTAAATAAAAAGAATCCGATTTAAAAAAAAATCCATTGATTTTTATCCAGCCTGGAATTGATACAGTATGCTTAGGTCCCTACCAAATTCACAGTCCATTTTAGTCAATTTCACAGTCATAGGATTTTAAAAATCGTAAATTTCACGATTTCTGCTATTTAAATCTGAAATTTCACAGTGTTGTAATTGTAGGGATCCTGATCCAAAAGGGAGTTGTGTGTGCATGGGGGGGAGGGGGAAGGTTGCAAGGTTATTGTAGGGAGGGTTGCGATATTGCTATCCTTACTTCTGCACTGCTGCTGGCGGCGGCACTGGGCAGCTGGAGAGCGGTGGCTGCTGGCTGGGAGCCCAGCTCTGAAGGCAGAGCCGCCGCCAGCAGCAGCGCAGAAGTAAGGATGGCATGGTATGGTATTGCCACCCTTTACCTCTGTGCTGCTGCCTGCAGAGCTGGGCCCTCCGTCAGCAGCCGCCACTGTCTGGCCGCCCATGGTATGGTATTGCCACCCTTACTTCTGTATGAAATACAGTAAAATTTCTTAATTCTGTATGAAATACTCAGTATCAGAATAACAATATTTGAAAAATACTGAAGAAGACATTATTACATGGGGAAAGATATGCTCATAATTAGTATGAAAGATTTTAATTAAATTACATATTTATTAGTGAATATTGGTGTAAGATTAAGAAACCACTTAATTCAGACTTTAAATAAAAGTTGAATGAAGAAGATTAAATAGGACATTAGAGAATACAGTCTCTTACACATTTTATAAAGATTATTCTTTTTGATGCTTGTGCATGCTCAAGTGAAGTAGAAAAGATTAAGATAAGAGAAAGGGGAATTGAAACTTCTGTACTGGAATTAAGTAGTTTAAAGCTAAATAACTGATTGTAGTCAAATCAATGGGCCAAGTCCTATACTCTTTTTACTCAGCCCTACTTAGCATTGAAGTGAATGTACATTACACACTGTGCACCCACAGTAGAGAACCAAGCATATATATATAAGGAATAATTGACAGTGTGATATATAGGTCTTATCAAGCATAACTTCTGGATGGCTGCATTACTACCAAGTGAGGAAACTCAAAGTGAATTATGCAGGCTATCTCAAATGCATGATAATAAAATCTTATGCCATACCACGCTATCACGCATTCTGTGTTTGCTATGAATTAAAAACAACTATTTTACAAATGTTTTAGATTTTTACAAAAATTATTGGGATTTGAAAAAAATCCTCTACCTAATAAACCAAGTATGTTTTTTAGAAGTCCAGCTGTACCAGAAGGGGCCCTAACCCCCTAAAATGAGGGGAAAATAGCTTGTCTTTACCTACAAACATTACAACTTTAATGTCTGTTTTTTCAGATTCTTCCAGGACTAGAAGGAAATACTGTGTATTACACTGACAACATTGTCTTCCCAATGGGATGAAACTCCTTTTCTAGCCTTTCTGCATCATGATCAAATAGATTTTATAGCTGTGACACTTCATTTGTAGAAAACTTGTCAGTGGTCTAGGACTAAGTCTTGACTGTCCTGAACTTGGGGCAAATGTCATACAAACGTGTGTGTGTGTGTGTGTGTGTGTGTGTGTGTGTGTACATATGAATGGATACGTGGAGCACAATTTGTATCCTCCACACTTCTGAGGGCACTTGTGCCTAAGGAGGTTTCATACCTAGAGGAAAAGAAAGCATAAATGTTGATACCACATCCCTTCCAGGAGTTCTGCAGGGTAAAGGCAGCTGCAGGTTCCCATTGTTTGGAGACTGGATGCCTCAGGGGAGTAGTAAGCTGTTGATCTCTTGATCACAAATTAGAATCCACCCCAAGTCAGTCATGACCAAAAAGTAGTTACTCTTATATGGCTATTTGTAGGCTATGTGAACGAGTTAGTGGTCTAGGCCCAACTTGTGGGCAAGTGTCCACAAAAATCTCTATGCCATTTGGCAGCCTTGTTGGCAGTCTCAAGAGAGAGGCCAGAGTTTGATGATTATGGAAAATGAATTACCCTTTCACCACAAGAGTTCATCAAGGTTCGAGCAACTTGGCAAAGCAGTGAAAGGAAGTGTACTTTGCTGCTGCCCATTCTGAATCTGTTTTGGAGATAAAGAGATGGTTTCATTTTTCAGGGATGTCGGTACAGTAGAACCTCAGAGTTACGAATACCAGAGTTATGGACTGATCAGTCAACCACACACCTCATTTGGAACAGGAAGTACACTATCAGGCAGCAGCTGAGACAAAAAAGACAACAACAATAACAAAACAAAAAACAAATAAAGTACAGTACTGTGTTAAATGTAAACTACTAAAAAAAGCAGCATGTCTCTTCAGCATAGTAAATTTTCAAAGGTTTATTAAGTCTATGTTCAGTTGCAAGCTTTTGAAAGAACAACCATAATGTTTTGTTCAGAGTTACGAACATTTCAGAGTTACAAACAACCTCCATTCCCAAAGTGTTCATAACTCTGAGGTTCTACTTTATGTCCGTTTCTACAAGCATTTAATTAACTACAAAAGAAAAAAAAATTTTTTTTTTACACGCAAGCAAGAAGAATGACAGCATCGCAATATAAGCTGATAAGTGCTGTGGTAGAAAAAGTGAGGTTATGCTTTTGTTATGCAGTTGACAAAGCTATTCAATATAAATTCTAAAGTATTAAAAAGATGCTTTTCTCCCATTGGTGTCTGATTGTGTGATGTTTTAAATGTTATCAATCTAGTTTCCCTCCCTGTGCTGTATAAGTGTATATGGTGGATATGATCCCAGTAAATCTGAGTAAAAATCCAAAAAGTAGTAATAAATCAGGGGAAATTCTCCATTCTCTTGGCTCGTGTATCACATTAAGATTGTTTGTTTTCTTTACCTACAAGTTGTAGTTTCAGAAGTCACTAGGTTCACCCAGAATAATTTAGGAATTTAGCTTTAACACAGAATTTAGTAAATTATAGTAGAAATAACCAAGTGAGATTCATAATTGAATTCAGTAAAATAAGAGAAAGAGATTTATAATTACAGAGGAGTCCTCATTTTAAGGCATAGCTAAAGAACAACAGTAATCTTGAGGAAATATGATTAGGGCCGTGGCTATGCATTTAAGGTTTTAAAGTGAACCAGGCAAGATTATTAAAATCAGCAAGAAACTCACTTAGGGTCATTTACATGCCAGCAGATACATATCTAGATAAGAAGCTGAGTAGCAGTACATGAAGTTGACTACAAAAGGGAGTACTAGTTGGTAGTAACTGTGACCATTGGTCAAATTTTAAGACAATCAAATCTTCAATGGGAAATCTGAAAAAAATAGAGATGGAAAGCTATATCATTTTTTCCCAAATATGCGGTAAGAGGATTCTGCACAAAACATCTTAGACAAAGATTATACTGTGCTGATCAACAGAGCATGAGGGTAGTGCTGAGTGGGTCTAGGACAGGAGAGGAGTGCCTCAGTACTAGTTTAGAGCCAAGTCAGTACTCTGTCTTAAGCAAGGCCGGTGCAACCTATTAGGCGACCTAGGCGGTCGCCTAGGGCGCTAGCATTTGGGGGGCGGCATTTTCTTCAGCGGCGACCGCAGCGGCCAGATCTTTGGCCGCCCCAGTCATCATCAGCATTTAGGCGGAGGGAGCTGGGGTGGGAGGGCGCAGGGAGGGCCGCAGCAAGTAAGGGGGGGGGCGGCACACAGGGGAACTCCCTGCCCCAGCTCACCTCTGCTCCACCTCCTCCCCTGAGCACGCCGCCCCGCTTTGCTTCTCTCCCTCCCAGGCTTGCGGTGCCAAACAGCTGATTGGCGCCGCAACCCTGGGAGGTGGGAGAAGTGGAGCAGCGACAGCAGAGGAGGCGGAGCAGAGGTGAGCTGGGGTGTGGAGCTGCCGCACGGCTCCCCGGGTTGGGGGGGGAGCTGCCACGGGGGAGGCGCCTCAGGGCTGGGGGAGGTGGGGAGCTGCCGTGGGGGAGGCGCCTCAGGGCGGAGGGGGGTATGGGGAGCTGCCACAGGGCTCGGGGTGGGGGCGGAGCAGAGGTGAGCTGGGGTGGGGAGCTGCCGCACGGCTCCCTGGTCGGGCAGGGGTGGGGAGCTGCCGCAGGGCTCGGGGAGGCGGGAGGGCGCAAGGTGGAAGTTTCGCCTAGGGTGCGAAACATCCTTGCACGTGCCCTGGTCTTAAGCGCTATGACTAAGCAGTCACCTTTTATGTTTGTTATTTTAAAGAGGTAGACAGACGAATCCTGAATTTGTGTATTGTTAACTGTTTAAGAATGGTGTATTCACGGCACCAGCTGTTCTGCTCCTGCTCAGCTGACACAGCAAGGACAGAATACTAGGAGAACATCTGATCTTACAACTTTTCCTTAGGGACTACGCACTTGGGACTTAAGTGGTATAAGATCTTGTAATGGTCCTCTGCACGGAGAGTGAATTTTATCAGCAGAGTGGCAATAGGCTCTGGCCCTCAGCCCCTACACAGGTAAAACTTATTGAAGTCAGCAAGAGTATTGCCTGAGAATGAGCAATTTAAAGGCTCACAGTGAGTGGGATCACATATTTTGTAGTTGGGGACTTTTTAACGGCAGAATATGGGAAATTTTTTCTCAAAAAAAGATATGCCCCCCTTTTTGAGGTATTGGTATAAGAACACAACAGAATTTTTCTTACATTTCTATCATTCTTCTCTTCTTATTCCTAAAACTTCATTATAGGTTTGTGTATTCAAACCTTTGCGTATCTAACTGCTTCCCTTTTGTACCAGCATGCGTCTTCAGATCATCCCTGACTGCATTTTAGACCCATCTATGCTGTCTCCCAAAAAAGGTGTTTGCAAGCTACACAAGCATTAAATTACTTTAATTTTCTAGATCAGTCACTTTTTCTGATATTTTTCAGGAACATGGCATTCCAACTGACATGGGCTATGCGGTAGCTCCACACCACTCCGGGGTTTACCCTGTACATGTTCAGCTTTATGAGGCCTGGAAAAAGATCTGGAATATCAAAATCACCAGCACAGAAGAGTATCCACATCTAAAACCTGCACGGTACAGACGGGGCTTCATCCACAAAAATATCATGGTGAGCTGCTTTTATGATTTTTATATTCAAACTTACTGCTTCAGCTTTTCATGATTCATTTTAAAAAACAAACAAAAAAAGTGTAAAAGCACAGCATCCTGAAAGTTCACATTGTGAGAAGCACATATGGCTATGTAGAAATTGTAAGGTATAGTTGACATTAACCTGCTAATTAAAATCAGCATGTCTAAACCTCTTGCTGGCATTCACCATACTGCTGATGAAAGCAGCATAGCTTCTGACATTGGGGCCTATCTGTTACTGCTTTTGATACACTGACATTTTCCTTCAGATTTTTAAGCCAGTAACAAAGTAATTTACAACCAGCTGGAAATCTGACCACTAATACTTTGGTGAGCGTTATTGGTGAGATTTTCAGCTGGTTGTAAATGCATAGCTCCACTGACTGCAAAGGAGTTATGCCAACATACACCAATTGAGAATCTGGCCTTTCATCTTTAAACAGTAAAGTGCTGCTTCAATTGTATGAAATGTCCCTCACCTTACATCCTTCCCACACATTCTGCCAGTGTGCCTCTTACTATGGCTCAAACCCAGCTAAGCTCTTGGCCCAAGTAGCACAGCTTTGATGCTGGGCAGATCCCCAGAGGGCTGGAGGGAAGAAAGCATCCTCTCAAACTGTGGAATTATTCCCTGGAGGCAACTCTAGTCCAAATCACCTAATTCTCCCATTGTACTCCCTATAATTCATATTGACAGACATGGACTGCACTACTTTCCTGACTGTGACTTTTCATTACTGACACAAAATTCTCTGTTAACACCATGTAGGGCATTTAGGCAATAATAATTAAGGCATAGGGTATTTCCTGGCTGTTCAGCATTTGCGAAACCCTGTGCATTATTGTCAGTGAAATGTTTTAAAACAACTTTTTAAAAAATACTTTAGGGTAATTTTTGCATCTTTCCGTATGTGAGAGAGATCACTAATATTTGTACCACATCATACTTTGGGCTGTTTTGAGTGCATTTAGAGGAGTATGCCTGGTGCATTAGCTCCAGCTAATACTTCCATTTAGCTTATACAGTAATTATGGTATTGTCCTAAAGAGTTACCGTGAATAGCATTATTCTGACAAATTAATACTCCAAAATGTAATGTGTGAATCTAGGTTTGGGAGAAGCCTGTTAAAATGATCTGCAGTTATTAAAAATAAAAAATCACACCACGTTAAAGCTTAGTCTCAGGAAAGCATTAGCTGTAAGTAAAATAATAGGTTTGTAGATACCCTCAGGGGGCGTAAAGCATCTGAATAGGGTTGATTGATTCTGAGAACTCTCCAAATAACTCTGTTCATAAATTTTGGTAAAAACATATCATTTTGAAGGCACATATTGAATAAGATTTAACATAAGCTTTGAGAAACAGGATAGCAGGGCCAAAAATCAATTTACCGAGAATAATCAGCATAAGACCACCTGTCTCAGAAATCTCAGGCTTTCTGTTCTTCAGAGCAAATGCATTAATTTTCTGCATCTGCAGGCTGATGGTGATGAACACATGCCATAATAAAGACATTATATAAGATTTACCAGAAGCATTTCCCCTCCTGCTCAACTTAACTCTGTACCTTTGTACCAATTGCACTGGTGTTTCATCAGGGAAACCAGAGGAATTTAAAAAGCATTTGTAGGATTATAACAAATAAATTAATTCCATATATTTCATAATTGTAATTGTGATTTATGGTCTATAGCAGGGGTGGGCAAACTACAGCCCATGGGCCTGATCCAGCCCACCAGCCATTTTAATCCAGCCCTCAAGCTCCTGCCGTGGAGCGGGGTCTGGGCTTTGCTTCAGCCAGGAGCAGGGGCGGGGGGCGTTCCACGCAGCTCCCGGAAACAGCGACATGGCCCCCTTCCAGCTCCTATGCGTAGGGGCAGCCAGGGGGCTCCGCTCCACATGCTGCCCCCGCTCCAAGTGCTGCCCCCGCAGCTCCCCTTGGCCGGGAACCACAGCCAATGGGAGCTGCAGGAGTGGTGCCTGCGGAGAACTGCCTGGCCACACCTCCATGTAGGAGCCAGAGAAGGGACATACTGCTGCTTCTGAGAGCCACTTGAGGTAATCGCTGCCTGGAGCCTGCACCCCTGAGCCTCTCCCCGTGCCCTTGCCCCAGCCCTGATCCCTCTCCCACCCTCTGAACCCCTCGGTCCCAGTCCAGAGCAACCTCCTACACCCCAAACTCCTCAGCCCCAGCCCCACCCCAGAGCCCGCACCCCCAGCTGAAGCTGTCACACCCCCACACACACACACCCCACATCCCACTCCCCAGCCCAGAACCCCCTCCTGCACCCTGAACTCACTTCTGGCCCCACCCCAGAGCCCGCACCCCCAACCAGAGCCCTCACTCCCTCCCACACCCCAAGCCCAATATTGTGAGCATTCATGACCTGCCATACAATTTCTATGCCTAGATATGGCCCTCAGATATTTGCCCACCCCTGGTCTATGGTCATTATAGAATATAAAATTCTATAGAATGTTGAAAAAAATTACCACAGAAAAGAATGATTCATATACAAGCATAATTTCTTCCGAATAAGGAATTTCCGTAGTAGGTGTCAGGTTTAAAAAGTCTGAGCCTTTATTCCAGCAAACACCGACTTTGCCAAACTGCTGTTGATAATCACTGTCATTTGAGATTTAGGCCTATATTTTTAAATGTATTTAAAAATCTGGTCCTTAGATGTTCAGCCTTAAGATGTAAATTTTCTGGAAAAAACATTATATATATGAAACCCATCCATTTTCCAAGTTGGGGATACAAGGAAACATTTCAAAGGTGGTTCTATTGTAAAAAGCAAATGCATGAAATAGCAGCACCGTACTCAAAGGAGCTGTTCCCTGTGTATGTTTAGAGTCATACATGCTTATTTTAGTCATTAAAAAAATAAGTTTGTACTACTTTTTACTACCATTAGTCTTGCAGAGCTGGCACAGCTGAGAGAAAGTGAGCTGGATTCTATTGTAACTTATGCATCATCAACAAAAATAACTACATTTAATACAGAATCATTATTGTCAATGATGCATGAGCAAGAAAGAACCAATTTGACTTTCAAATTCTGCACTGAGTTTGCAGGGCTGGCACAAAAGAAAGCCTACTTTTAAGTGGAAACTGCACAGATTTGTATGACAATCAATAAATACAGAACACACCACGCTATTTTTATAAAATCACTTTTCAGATTATGATCTCACCTTATGAACTAAAAAAGTTTTGGTGACAGCCTTAAAATACAGTTAGATTAGACATCAAGTACATAAAGAGGTGTTTTGGGAGGTTTTTTTGCAGACTCTAAATTACATCTGGCTTTTCAACAATAGTCACTGCGTTTCAAATAAAAATTCATGAATTACTGGGAAAAAATGACTTGTGGTTTCACTATAATATAAAAGTCACTCTTTTGTTTGTTCAAAAATACATTATATACCGATATGTCAGTATGTTAGCTTACCCAGGCCTTAGATTAATTGTCAGTCTAACTACTGACTTCAATTAAAGGTGCAATGCTAAATCTACATAACAGTTTAATGACAGAAAGTAAATGGTAAAGTTACAAAAGTTCATTTGTATTAAATTTATTATTTTACAAAAGGAATGAAAGTCATTTTGTTTTGAGACATTTTTCTTTATCATCCTGTTTTTACTCAGGTCCTTCCTAGGCAAACCTGTGGTCTATTCACTCATACAATTTTCTATAAGGAGTATCCTGGGGGTCCAAAAGAACTAGACAAGAGTATCCAGGGAGGGGAGTTGTTTTTCACAGTTGTTCTCAATCCAGTAAGTACTACAACCTGCTTTTGAAATGATTAACAAAAAATGATTAAAGAGCAATTTGCTGATGAACTATGTCTCTCAAGAAATATTGATTTGTCACAGATCAAAGCAGTCTCCCCTTCGTTATCTAATATGTTTGAGCTATGATACTGTGCAGATATACTATAAGATTTAATAGTTTGATGCTGGCTTCTATTTTATCTGGCTTATAGTTAATGTGGTGTTTAAAGCCAAGCCTCTATCTTTTTTTGTTTTGCTTTTTTGATTTTTTAGATTCATCAATAATTAAGATTTAATTTCTAAAAGTATTAAAGTATTGAGAATTCTTATTGTTAAAGCTGCAACAAATACCTTAGGTGAAGTCCATAAGAATCGATATTCTACCCTTGAGACTTCCAAGTTAGACAGTTAGACACATCTACTAGTTTAAGAAAGTCGCAAAGAAGTGACTTTTTTAATGCTTTTTGAGAATTGCTCATTTACTGATTCATAGGCACCATTCACTCTACTTCAAAGTAAAGTTTCATTTAAATGGACCACTGAGTCAGTCTATTTACCCTCTTATTTATCCCTGGAGAAAGAATGGAGCAGCCAGGCTATTAAACTGCGGAATATTGAAGGTTAGCATAATATAGCACAATATTTTTGAAATTGGCTTGGATTAGGTCAGATTTATCAAGAATTGACATGAGACTCCTATTTGTAATTCTTAGGTAAGTTTTGGCCCCAAGGTCAAGGTGAATTTGAATTGAAAGGCAAAGTATTGATAAAAGCTAGGCTGCATTTGCAACTTGCAAATAAGATTTGGTATGATGAGTTTACACTGACACTTAACCACTAGGCTGGGGTTTTCAAAGGTGCTTAAAAGAGTGGGACATCTATTTCCTTTCAGATCCTTTGAATAGCTCAACCTAAACATTATTGTGCCCTCATTTAATACAAACAACGTAAGTGGGAGTTCAGAGGAAAGAAGCTGTCTGTAAGCAACTCTGGGGAATTTGACTCACAATTGGCAAGCAATTCTTTTTCAAGACTTAAATTCTTTTACACTTTAGTTTTAATTGTTTGGGGGTTTGGGTTTTGGGTTTTTTTTTTTGGGTTAATGTTTAGAGGTTACGAAATGAATGTAAGAAAGAAAAAACACACATCCTCCACAAAGCTGCAGTCTCCCTAGTTCAGGATACCTGCAGGAGTCACTCTGATCTTCAGGTGAGGCAATGGATCAGGTACAAATAGAAAAGTATCCTTTTTCAGGTCAGATACATTAATAGGGTGAGATTGGGGCAGCCCTTTGGGTGGGAGGCTTCAGTCAAAAGCTGCGTGCTTTAGGAAGTTGCTGCAACTCTTCTAAGGGGTGCAGGGAGGCTCAAGCACCACTCTGCTTTGTCATAATATGGAACAAAGCTCCTCAAGGGTAGTGTGCTAGCTCAAGAAATGGGACTGGAAGAAAAAGATATAGCACCAAAAAATTGGAGTCAGGTGGTGAACTACACTCCAGGATTAGAAAGAGGTACGGACACAACTTAGCTGACAGGACCTCTTCTGATCCTGACAGCAGTGTGGTAGCAAAGCTTAACATGGGGCTGGTTGCTTGAATCATAAACCCATCCAAAAGCAAGAGAGCTGCTTGAGGAGGATTTATTACTTCTGAGTTTGAGAGGGTGACTTGGCCAGGTCTGAAGCAGTGCTTTCTGACAGGCACTCAAGGAGCGGAGCATTCATCTTCCCCACCGTGAGATATTTTCCTGTGAGCATCCTGATTTTTACAGGGCATGGCACTTGTTACAATGGTGCCATGTTGTTTACTTTGGCACAGGAATTCATGCCCTAGAACAAGAATTTATATACATTTTGGGTTGGAAAAAATCTCATGGATTATTTTGGCTTGTCTTGCGAACTCAGGTTTGGCAGTCTTAACATTAGCCAATTAGGAGGAGTTACTTGACATAGCCAATTCTTCTGCTTCGCTTCTCTAGGCCTTTCCCTACCAGCCTGTCAGTGGGCTGATGCAGTCAGCACTCACCTACTGGAAAATCTGCAATTGGTATCCACTCTACTTCTACTGTCTACTATTTAAAAGCCCTTCACTGCTCCCATCTAAGTAAACACATAGCTGCACATGCACAGATGGGGGGGGGATCTGATTTAAAAAACAAAATCTTTGGTTTTGTATACATTACTTGACATCTTGCCTAGCACTAATGCTCTGCAATGTTGCGTAGGAGACCTTTTAGTCCTAATCCTGCCAGCTCATTCCCTGTGATTTAAATTAATACAGCAACACCATGTGCTGTATACTTATCAGATCTCTTAAACAAAACAAGGTTGATGCTATGCTGTATTTGAATGTGACACTTTTGAGGAAACAGACCATAAAATGTGTGTTCCTTTTCCACACTACACTATTGCTGCTACTCCATTGTAGATAGAACCTCTTTCTGCAATTCTGGCTGCATTCTCTCCTGCTTTTTGTTACTTTATTAATATTATTTCCCTTTGTTCCAATTGTCTCTACAGGAATGACTGTATTTAAAAAAAACATTAATATTGAGGATTATGTTTTAAAGCTGAGACTTTAATTGTACAAAATTCAAGACATTCAAAATTAAGATTTCCTTCTCCCCTAAACAGTGCCTCCTTTTGTGTTTTATTGTTTTTTGTTTTTTATTTGAATTATTGTAGCATCTGGAGACCCCAGTTGCAGATCAGAGCCCCCTTGTGTGAGGTACTGTATACACATATAATAAAAAAGTTAGTCCTTGCCCCAAAGAGCTTACAATCTCTATATATTGCAACATAACAGCTGATGTATAAAATAGATAAACTTGGGGGGAAAGACAAGATGAACAGTGGTAACATAGATGTTTCAGCATATCTGCCTAGCAGTTGTTGATTGAAGGTACAATAGTGTCTTTGTATGAGTTACATTGTGCGATCATGATTATTGTAACATTAAGCAATGTATCGTATTATTCAGCATACAATACAATATAAAATAATGGGCGTTAAATGCGCTCTTTTTTGTAATTGCATATACACACAAATAGAATGCCAAAATTTTGCCATGACGAATTGCAGATATAGATTTAGTGTCTGCCTTTGAAAAGATAGACCATAAGTTTTAAATACTTATTTAAAAATAGTTCCTAAAGCTGTTTGCCTTTGGGCTGATGGATAACCAATTTAAAAAAGGAGGCTTGTCATACACATTTTTTTAAAAGTGTCAAATGTATTTATATAATAAATTGCAAGTCTAGCAAAAATGTTTTATTTGTGCAAAGAGTAGACACTAATCATAGAATATCAGGGACCTTAGGAGGTCATCTAGTCCAACCCCCTGCTCAAAGCAGGATCAATCCCAAACTAAATCATCCCAGCTAGGGCTTTGTCAAGCCTGACCTTAAAAACCTCTAAGGAAGGAGATTCCACAACCTCCCTAGGTAACCCATTCCAGTGCTTCACCACCCTCCTAGTGAAAAAGTTTTTCCTAATATCCAACTTAAACCTCCCCCACTGCAACTTGAGACCATTGCTCCTTGTTCTGTCATCTGGTACCACTGAGAACAGTCTAGATCCATCCTCTTTGGAACCCCCTTTCAGGTAGCTGAAAGCAGCTATCAAATCCCCCACCCTCATTCTTCTCTTCTGCAGACTAAACAATCCCAGTTCCCTCAGCCTCTCCTCATAAGTCATGTGCTCCAGCCCTCTAATCATTTTTATTGCCCTCCGCTGGACTCTTTCCAATTTTTCCACATCCTTCTTGTGTGGACCCAAAGTGTGGGGACCAAAACTGGACACAGTACTTCAGATGAGGCCTCACTAATGTTGAATAGAGGGGAATGATCACGTCCCTCGATCTGCTGGCAATGCTCCTACTTTATACAGCCCAAAATGCCATTAGCCTTCTTGGCAACAAGGGCACACTGTTGACTCATATCCAGGTTCTCGTCCACTGTAACTCCTACGTCTTTTTCTGCAGAACTGCTGCCTAGCCATTCAGTCCCTATCCTACTTCAAAAGATAAAGTACATATTTTCTTATATTTCAATGATCATGACATGTTTTATTTCACAAACTTTCATGTACTTATCATAAAGTAGTTTGGATTTATTTTTGAGGAAATAATCATATATTCAGCCTACTACAGGAAACAAAACTTCCATTGGGAGGAATTCTCTTTATATCACTTGGCCACAGATACAAAAAACATTAAGAGGAACGATTATAAAGGAACCATTACACTGTCAAGTAAATGATATTCTCTTCAAAAAAAGTTAAATACTTGTACAGTTCACAGAAATGTTTTGATAAGGTGAATTTAAAATTAAATTTAAGCCCTCACTTGATTTCACTTACATTGTCAGTTTAGCTTGGACTATTAACATTATGTGAATATAGGTTTTTGGGGGGTTTTTTTGTTTTTGTTTTTTTGTGGTTTAAGTTATTAACCTGGTTCTGTACGAAATGCATAAGAGTACTTCACATTCAAGTCAATCCCCATAAAAATCAGCCCCAAAACGTTCTTTGTGGTCTGGTCATACAATGGTAGCTTTTCACCAGAGAGGCTTTCTTCCTGTAATAGTCTGGAAACAACCACAAGTACAGAATGAACCACAAACAACAGTACCATATGTGAATCTGTAAGCTTTTGACATATGAGAACCTGTGTTAGTGCCATTTTCCCAGGGCATTCTCAATTCACTAGCCCTGCAGGTAAGAAAAGCATCAATCTACACAGGAAATCCTGCTCTGCAAACGATCTCTGCTACTTATATAATGTGGGACATAAGAGCTAATGTACCAAAGTAGCTAATCTTGTGGTCTGCAAACCTCTGTATTTATTTTGTATGGATTTATATCCCTAGCCTGCTGGTTGAATTGTGATCTGATAGTGGCTGTAGAAAGACCTTGGCAGCAATACCCATTATGTTTATAAAGCATTGAGTGCTTAAGTGCTACCTAACTGTGAAAGGAGACTGAATAGTTTTATAACTCATTGCCTA